CAAAGCCTTTTAGGTTGTTATGTTTGGCTGTTTTTTTAACTTAACTGAGTTTCAGCAGGGATGCATTTTGATGATTCTAAAAATATGCTTTTCATACATAACTCTACTTAATTAAATAGTGTGTGTTCTGACAGAAAAAGATCTATATGTTACATGCTAGTTTCAGATCATAGGTTTCTTGAAAGCATTTTTTTCAGTCTCCGCTTATTTGGGTTTATACTCACTAAACTTTATTCAAAACTGAAACTTTTAAAATAAACTGACAAACTCAAAGCAAAACTCAGTTTAAACTATGGAGTTTTACATCACATGAGTTTGATGTGAAATATTCAACAATTCCCAGTTCAATCAAAACTAGACCACTAGACCAGGTCCAAACATAGTGAATGTACAAAACATAAAGCCAAGCAAGTTTTCCTTGGTTAGTGATCATACTGTGAGTATTTCATGGAGCTCAGATGCTCATGAGTACCCAAGTTAGAGAAAGCATAGCTGAAGGAGAGAGACAAACAGTTCAAAACTATGTTTTCTCAAAGGGTTTCATCCAAAGCATGTTGAAATCAATGGGAGTCTTCTCATTAACTTCAGTGGGTTTTGGGTGAGGCCCACAAAAGAGTGACTTCAAGATACAGATGAGTCAGTCAGTCAGTCTGTCTGAAAATGAATCCTTAGTTACTTTTTACCTTATTGACTCTTCCACACTGGTATTTTTTTTAATTTCTCCATCGCCAGTGCAATTTCACTGGTGGCAGTACTAATGTAGTACCAGTTAATTACCATGATCTGATCCTGGCATTATGTAATACCACCACACACTGCAGGACATGGGGCAGGGAGGGAGGATATAAAAAACTTTCTGGCCTCATTGGCCAGAGGAAGCAGAAGATCCCCCAGGCGGATGAGTAAAAGAGAGGCTGGAGCATGGCACTCCCTAATTGGACAAGACTTGGGTGATATCATACCAGGTATATAAGAACAACTCAACCAAGGTTTCTGACTTTTTTCTCCTGGGGCTGCAAATAGCTACACAGCTGAACTGCGAGCCAGAATGTAACCTCCCATGATGTTCACTTGAGCGTTTCACTCTTTCTGGCCATTCGGATGCAGCCATCTCCTTTCGAGTCAACAGCTTGCCTTCCAGATCCTTCAAAGGGTCCCCAGGGATTCCCGCCTGCCATATCTTGTTACCAGTTATTGTTGGGAGGATGTTTTTGAATCTCATCTCTTCTGGTTCCCTCCTTTGGCTCTTTTGCCTGGACTCCTGTTTCAGGGCTCTGCCTCCCTTACACCCTGCCTTACACCAACCAAAGATTTCATAGACATCAGGGCTGGAAGGGACCTCGGAAGATCATCGAGTCCAGCCCCCTGCCCAAAGGGCAGGAAGTCTGCTGGGGTCATAGGATCCCAGCAAGATAAGCATCCAGTTTTATCTTGAAGGTGTTCAATGAAGGCGCTTGAACCACCTCCAGTGGCAGGCTGTTCCAGACCTTGGGGGCTCGGACAGTAAAGAAGTTCTTCCTTATGTCCAACCTGAAACGATCTTGAAGTAGTTTGTGACCATTTGACCTCGTCATCCCTTGGGGCGCTCTGGTGAACAAACGTTCCCCCAGATGCTGGTGGTCACCCCTGATAAACTTGTAGGTGGCCATCAGATCACCCCTGAGCCTGCGCTCCGAGGCGATGTTGCTCCTGGGCCAAGGCTGAGCCAAAGTCTGCTTGCCACAGTAAAGGCTTCAGCCCTGATATAGTCACAGTCCTGTTTGGATGGTGTACTGTCCTGGTTCAGGCCTCATGTCAGCCTGCTTTGCTTTCCTACTCACCCGGGATGCCTTACTCCCAGGCGCTCTCCCTTTTCTCCCAATGTCTGCTCACAGCCTCAGAGTCTTTTCTTCTTTCTGTCCTAACAGGTTCACTGCTGTCCCAATCTACACCACCTTCATCCAGGATCCACAGTCTTGTCAAAGGTAAGGATTCAGGCTCTGCTGAGCAAGCTTTGTCAGGGCATACCCCCTCCTAGGGTTGCCACCACTCGCCCCTGCCAGGGCAGTCATTCACTTCCAGCCTCTCTGGCCCTTCCGGAGTACTCACTTCTGGTCCTCCTTGAATGCCAGCCAGTGGGGTTTTTATTCCCCTCCTGAGGGCTGGCTGGAAAACCGGTGTTGGCATGCAGCCATAAAGTATGCCCATGCTGGTGTGGCTGAATGCACCGGCTGTCCCGCGGCCCACTGTGGCCGCTTCTACTTTTCTCCCTCCAGTCCCAGCACAGCTTGTCTTCTCGCGGTGGCCTTGTTTCCACTGCACCTTTGATCTTCGGCGGTGCCCTGCTGGCTCCACGTCTCTCTCTGCTCCCAGATGCGAGGTAGGTCCTGGTCTATGGCGGTGTCCCTGCCACACAGAAAACCTGCTTCCTATGGAGGGGTCTCCCCTCTTCACTGGAGGGGCAAGCAAAAGCTATGGGACAGGAAAGCCTCAGGTACAGGTAGAGAAAGTCTGTCTCAGAGTTTGAGACTCCTATTTCCTTCCTCTTTCACCTGTTTTTTCTTAAGTGGTTAATGCCATTCAGGTATTAATCCCTGGAGCAAACTGCCCAGGAATGGGTCCTGGCAGTTATTGCCCCTGTGCTTAGGAATTGTAGTCTCTCAGCACAGTGGTATAGCTGAGACTGGATATCCAGGCTGCAGCCATAGACCTGGGCCCTTTTTGCTGTTTCACAGTTACTGCATTTCAGCCTAGCTGTGTGGCTGAACCATGTTTGGCTGGCAGATTTGGGCCAAGGTAAAGCCTGACACAGTTTGAACCAGGGTGAGACCTGGCACTTATTGTTGTTGATCCAGGCCTCAGTGTAATATAGGCTTGGCTAGTAGGATGGCCAACTCTGACTGAAGCTATTTGGGGAGATTTTTTTTCTCTAACGTGATGTAATGTTATTAAGAGGGGTGCACTGATAGAGACTTTTTGGGCTGATACCAATGGCCACTTTTAACAAGCCATATCAGCTGATACCGATCTGATTGCTGATATGCAGCTGAGCATCTTGGAAGGCAGCATCTGGCTGGTAAATCTGTTGTAGGGGAAGGAGCAAGGGGGGAGGGAAGGAGCTTGCGGGGGCAGATCGAAGCCCCTGCAGTGAGGGAGGGAGTGGGGCTGGAGCTGGGGCTGGGGCTGGGGCAGGAGCTGCACAGCCAGGGCAGGGCGCAGGATGGAGCTGCGAGCCGCTCATCCAGTGTGTGTGGGGGGCAGCTCCCGCTGCTATGTGCACCCTGGGGGGGTATGAGGGGCATGTGCCCTTGGATCTGCATGTGGAAGGAGGGCAAGCTGCCACTGTGGGCTGCGGTTGGGGTGGCACCAAGCTCTTCCCAGTGCAGGGCTGGGCTGAGCTGCACTCAGCACGGGTGGCAGCACTGAGAAAGGAGCTATGGGGGAGGCTGCAGCCGCCCCAAAATTCGCTGTAGCCCCCCTGGACCTCCCCCTCCCAGCACTGCTACTGCCTGCCCCAAGTGCAGCCCAGGCCCAACCCACCCACTAGGAAGAGCCCGACGCTGCCCCCAGCCCAGCCTGCAGTGGCAGCCTGCCCTCCCCCCGCACACAGATCCAGGGGCACATACTCTGCATGTCCTCCCAGGACTCATGCAGCAGCAGGAGTTGCCCCCACCCCATGCCCCCCAGATGAGCTGCTTGTAGCTATGTCCCGTGCCTCACCCTGGTTATGAAGCACTTACCCCAGCCCCAGCCACACTCCCTCCCTCACCACTGGGGCCTCCATCTGCTCCCCCCTCACACCCCTTTCTTCACAACAGACTTACCAGCCAGACCCAGCTGCTGTCCATGCTGCCGGGCTGAGCTCCTGGCTGCCTGCATGCTGCGCAGTGGCTGTGCATACGCATGGGGTATTTATCAGCAATATTATCGGCCACATCAACCAAAAAAAGCTGATTGCCGATACTGTCAATTTTCTTTATGCCAATGCCAATCTGATATGGGACCTATGTATTGGTGCACTTCTAGTCATTAATTGCACTGTTCAATCCATTCACAAGATCAATCTCCCAGATTGCTTTCAATAGTCACTGGGAGATCTATGTCAATTCTGGTAGACTCTCGATCAACCTGGGAGGGTTGGCAACCCTACTGGCTGGCTTTTGCTGCCCATTTCAGGCCCAGAGAAAGAGGCCTGGGCCCCCTTTTATCCTTTTTGTGGTTCATGTCCCAACCAAGCAGTGTGGTTGGACACTAGATGTAATTCAGGTCCAAGTCAAGATCGGCCTGACCTTTTGTCTGAGCAGTTTTGCAGCTTTTAGCCCAGCAGAGCTGGGATTGGATGTTTGTGTTTATACTGTTTGTAAGGAGGGCATTTTGTTTTTGCGGGACACCCTAGTAATTAATTTAGTGTTTACTGGGTGGTATGGGTGGGGGCTCAAGCCTAGGTAAAATATATTTAGTACCCCAAAATTGAACCTGATCCTTGTTGCTGCTGACCAGTGCCTGGCAGAAGAGTTAGAGTTATAAAGTCAGCAGGTCTACATAAACTCTTCCAACTATTGATGGAGCTGCCTTAATGGAAGTGGAATGGTGGGAGAGTAAAAAAATGCTAGTGTAGATAATATCTATAGAAGTATCTGAGACCTTTTCGAAGCAGGAACTGGGATTTTAGGCATAGAAGAAAGGGCAAGCTGAAAGGAATGACTAAAGTTACCCTTCTTCAAGTGCCATGGTCATGTTCTTCAGCTTCCCCACAGCCAAGTTAAAGGAAGAGTGGGGATGGCCTTGCTCTGCAGCTTGTCTAAAAGACAGAAAGAGGGAGAAAAAAAGAGATAATAGAAAAGCGGGGGGAAGTAAATTATCCTAAACCAAAACCAATGCAAACAGGTAAAAAGGCACACCTAATCTAGGCAGACAAGGTTCCTTGGCACACCTAATCTATGCTCTTTTAATATGATCCTTTTTAAAAATGCCAGGCCCTGATTCAAGAAAGCATCCCCATTTATTCTATTTTATTTTTTCCTGAACTCAGATATTCTTCAGTATATGCACTCCAGCGCTTTCCTGATCACAGCATTTAAAATCCTGCAGGTGACACAATGTTTCCACCTTCCTGTGTGTCCAAAAGTGATTGTGAAGTAAATGGAAATCTGGTATCTCAATTCACTGTTGAAATTGGTATTAGTATGTCTTCAAATCAACATTTACTATCTGCTAGAGTTGCACTTTCACACTAAGGATCAAATTTAGCCTTCATTTGTATTATCTACTACCAGTTATTTGAAATGGAAAAATAAGTATGCCATTGAGTGTAGAATTGAATGCCACAGCAAGAAGTAAATCTTGATATTTTGATTGTGTCTACTGTTTACCTTTTTTGATTATTTATGGCAGGGATGCTCAGCCCCCAGCCTGCTGGCCATAGCCATCCCATCCAGCTCCCTACACTGGTCTGGAAATGTGGCAGCAGGGGCGTGGTGGTAATTAACACTACTACTGCTCCACTGCCAAATTTCCAAGCCCCCTGCAGCTGGATCAGGCCTGGGTCCCATTGGCCCCACATGACTGAACTGGGCCTTGTGGAGGCCAGCACCAAGTCTAGTCTCAAGCATTTTAAAAATTGTTTAATCAGGGTATAAACATCATTTGCAGGGAACAGCTACCTCATTTCTGTATCAGCAAACTCTTATGAACGTAAAGTAACATTTGGAAAAGACTTAGCTGCTCTCTTTTTTCCCCTGTTGCTTGCAGCAAGGCAGTATTTGTAGTGCCTCTGAACCTGATGTGCAAATTTTCTTCTCTGTTCTATGCCTTGTAGTTCTAATGTCCCACAAAAGGAACAGCACTCCAGTTCCTCTGGACTCACTCTCTCTCTCTCTCCCCCTAGGTATTTATTTGGCTCTATTCACCTTAGTACTTGAGCACATTGCATGTATTTAAAAATAGAAATAACAGATGGGAAGAAGTGAGGCAGAGGGAAATGGCTTGTTTTGTCCAAGATTGCAGTTAGAACTCGGGCATTTCTGGCACCAGATATCCTGGCTCAGCCTTCATTTTCTCTCTCTCTCTCTCTCTCTCTCTCTCTCTCTCTCTCTCTCTCTCTCTCTCTCTCTCTCTCTCTCACACACTTAATTACTTTAGAAAGAAAACTTTCCAAGGGAAAATAGTTTGTTTATCCCTTCTACCCCCAGGAGTTCTTTTAAAGAGATCTATGAACCTTCACCCTGGAGAAATGAGTACAAGTCTGGGAGGTCCCATTGTAGTGTAGGTTGACATGCTGGTGATATTTTATACCACCTCACCTGAACCAATGCATGGCCATGTCCTCATTCTTTTCCACTCCAGCTCCTGGATGACAGACATAGATAAGTTGGAGAAATGATAGTTAACATGCATAATAGAGACCACCATGCACTCATGTGTGCACACACGTATGCACACACAAACATATGTTTTTCACTTGCAAACATACATATTCTGCAACCACCTTGACTTGGAGACGTGTTACCTTGCAGATATCTCTGGCCCACGATGTGCTGAGCATTACGGTAGCCCAGCTGAGCATACATATGAGCCACATGGAAATGGAAGTTCTCATAACACACAAAGATGTAAAGGAGGAGAAAGACCGCACCAATCATTGCCAGCAACTGGAAGAGACAAGGAAAGGCATGATGTAGGGTGACAGTGAAGTAGGGGACTAATTACAGCAAATTTTTCATCAAAAGCACTTGAAAGCCTCTTTGCTGTTTCTCAGATAGCAAAGGGGGAAGGGAAACTGTGCAATCACAGAAAATGCAATTTAGCTTTGTTCTTTAGATACAGAGTCAGATTCAATGCCCACTAAAATCCAAGACTCCCCTGACTTCAAAAGGCAATGGATCAGGACCTTAGTATCATCTTTCCTTTTGCTGTTGAGCAGGAAATTAAAATAATTCTATTGTCTAATAGTTCTGTTGCATGAGTAAATCATTAGTTAGTAGCAGATATTTGTGAGCAAGTCATTAAAAGAGGAGGAGGAAGTTCACAGCTATGTAACCTGTGTCATGGTTAACTGCATTTTCTCTCTATAAATCTGACAGCTCTTCTTAAGTACTTCATCAAATTATGCATCCTTTCTTCACCTGCTACAGAAAGTGGATTCATTGACCTTTTAAATTTGACTTTTCTCAGCTATGCTAGTGTAAAGCAGGAGTAACTGCATCTAAACCAGGGAAATAGCACTGCTGCAAGTCAAAAATGAAATCAAAATCCCATAATTTTTTAAACACCAAAGTAAAAGCTTTAAAAAATGTCCTAATAGTTTGGAGTAGAAGGTTTTACATATTAAAAATCCAAGTTTGTACTGGTGGTACAAGATTCATGGTCACCAACAGAGCAAAGCTTATAAGCAGGCTCTGACTCCAAAGATGATTTGGTAGCATGCTGCATAATCCACTAAGGGCCATATTGCACAGAACACTTAGTATGTGTAAAATGTGCTAAAAATGTGAGCAGCCACGTGTTCAAGCAGTAAAAAAATGTGAATGCACTTGTACTGTAGCAAACTTACCACTTTTTGTGCAAGGAGTATTTCTAGATTGTATTAAGTAATGTGTTTGGCTACTGTTAGCCTGCTCTACTGGGACAATATGAGCAATTTGCAGTTCTCCAGCCTCCCAGGATGAACTCCCAGCCCCACAAGTCCTGTGTCAAGTGCTGGTCTATGCACCTTCCAGAATTCTACTGCCCAGGTGGGTGCTTCTGACCCCCATTGATGTGGGACCAGCCCTAAGGCAACACCCCTACTTGTCCCAGGGAGGGTGACCCCAGCCCATGTGGCACCTCCCCGAGCACCCAGTGAAACTATCAAGATTCACCTTTCCTTTTTGCTTAAGTACTCTGGCGTGGTCACCTAGCTTCAAGTACTGAACTGAACCAGAGGATGGCCTCCAGTCATAGATACAGACCATCTCCCACCCATCATCCTGAACACTTCCCTGGCCAGCAACTACCACCAGATGGTCAGGGGGAGCCAGAGAATGCTAACCAGATGTGCTGTGTGCATGCCTCCCCATACTCCAGCGGCCCTGGCCATCTGCACCCATCTGTGTGGTTGAACACCAAGCAAAGAGTGGAGGTCTAAACAGCAGGTCTGCTGAATGCCACTGCAGGGGCAGCCATTCTCTTGGCTGAAGTGATGGGAAATGCCACCACCCTCCCAATTACCTGCACCCCAGTAACAGACGAGATGAGAGGGTATACCCTAGCACTGATTGCTCCCACCCAGCTCCCCAACAGTGTGAAGAGATGTGATTGTTGAGTTCCTTGGAGCCATCCAGCTTAGACTGGTGGGGCACGTTTCCATGCCACAGCATTCCCAGGGTCTCTCACAGCCAACAGGATTTGTACGTAATGGACTTGAGTGGACTCAAAAGTCCCCCAAAGCACATTTGGCACAATTGTACATTTAGTGCAGTTTGCACAGTGTCAAGAGTTTTAAGCTTATCACAGTTGCTTGTGAGATGGCCTTTGTTTCCAAGTGCTTATTTCAAGTGTATTTGAAGACATAAAGCTTGCGCAGTTAGGAAATTGGTCTCTTGTGTGCTTCTTGTTCAGGCCACAACTTGAGTTGCTCACAAGCCAACACAGCCAGCAGCCCATGCCTCAATTTCCCCTCCCAAAATCTCAATTCAAGATCCCTGTTCTCCCATGAGTCTTTGAGCACCCCTGTTTCTTGGTCTCCCTCTCCAGGCCTACCTCCAGCCCCCACCACAGGGAGCATTAAGCCCAACAGTTACCAAGATGTTTACTGAGCTGTTTTGGGAAAGCACACTAAAGGTACAGCACAGTGAACAAAGGGTTCACAATTGCTCAGCAGTCCCCTATATCCCTCCCACCCAGCAGAACATTGTCCCAGAAAGCAGTTAGCTTGGCAGTGGTTCTGTCTGGGATGCTCAGCATGGAGAACCACTCTGGCCCAGGCACCATCCTAAGGCCAGGGGCTTCTCCTGCTGTACAGCTAGCCCAGTTTCCGGGAAGGCTTCTCCCCTCCCCTCACATATCTTGAAGAGGATGCAGCTGGTGGTCATAAAGCTGGGAGTATTTCCTGAGCCTGTGTTCAAGGGGGATCCCCAAGGGCCTCCAGCATGCCTTTAGGTGCCCAAAGGTGCACTCCATCACCATCCAGCAGTTGCTCAGCTAGTAAATGAAGAACTCCTTCCTGGAGTTGAGCCAGCCAGTGTATGGCTTCATGAGTAAGGGGAGCAATGTGTAAGTCAGGTCCCTGAGGAAGAGCCTGCAGCGCCCAGGTTTGTCTCTGTAACTTGTCTACTTCACCTTTCACTTGTTCTCACTTCACCTCTCTGTGCCTCTGGTTTCCATTCATTAAACATGGATAAGTATATGAATCCAACCTATAAAGTGCTTTGATATGTTTGTATGAACAATAGTACATAAAAGCTATAAAAATCACAAAACAGTGATTGTATGTTAATCTATCTTCAGTTTGCTGCTAAGAAAGTACTATCACAGCAGTTATAAGACTTGATATTGTTTAGGATGTTGTGGCTGGCTTTGCATGAACAGTATTCTCCAGTTGCACTGAGATAATGGATGAGACTTATATCCCTATACCAGACTCTGACTTCACAAATAGAAAGGGGTGTTTCTTTGTTGTGCTGTAATACACCTCACTGAGCACTGTGGCAAGCTCACGAATGCTAATTCAGGGTCTTGATGGAAGGTTTATGACTTTTCTTTAATGAAAAAAAATAGATTGATCTTGTGCCTACTGTGGTCATTAATGGTGTTGACAATTCCTGATAAAACCTTTCATTGGACACACAAATGCAAGAAACCATCTGTCTAACTATTGCCCAAGCATCTGCATGGTAAAAGTAGGGTGTGAGTTAGGAAGGTTAGCAAGAGGAGAGGGTCTTATCAAAAGCTGGGAGGCAGAGGTGCATAAACTTTCAGAACGTTATTGTCAGACTACAAGAAAGCCTTTTCAAAATAGCAGCTATGAGGGCCAGGCTTGTGTTCTTGCTTTCATGATAGTTACTAATTTATGTCATTTTAAGAACAGATTTTTATTGCATTGTTGCAACTGTGATGCTTGCTTTTGGTTTTGTGTAATACTGTATGGAAATGTCTGACATACTTCCTCATATTATCATGAAATATCTCATGAGATATTCTATCCTATGAATATTTATGTGGAACCAGAGTATATTTTTAGTGAAGAATGTGAACTTTCTATTGGGGAAGTAATGGAATCTCTGCTTTGAGACTTTCATAAAAATGTGTTAATCTAATTGTTTTTCAACAAGAGCAATACTGATTTTCAAAGTACATATACAAAAAAATAGTCTATATAAGTGTGCAAAAGTGCAAAAATTTGAACCAATAACAAATTAAAAATGGAAATATAAAATAAATAATATAACAGTGTAAACTTAACAAAATCCAAGAACATAAATGTTCTAAAAATGCAAGAGAACACCCATTTATACTTGCCGCTTTTGGGGGTCATTGTGGACCTTCTCTGCAAGTGTTCTGGTAACAGGAGCACACTATTGGCTCATATTCAGTTTATGGTCTGCTGTAATACCCAGGTCTTTCTCTGAAGTACTGCAGTCTAGCCAGCCACCCCCAGTCTGTATTTGTGCATGCAGCTATTCCATCTCAAGTGAAGGGCTTTACACTTGTCCTTGTTGACTTTCCCCTGGTTGATTGCAAACTATTTTTTCTGTCTATCCAGGTCATTCTGAATCCTAGACCTACCCTCCTGAGTGTCTGTAACTCCACCCAACTTGGTGTCATCCATAAATTGGCTAAGCATGCGCTCAATCCTATCATCCAAATTATTAATGAAGATGTTGAACAATACCAGACCCAGGACAGACCCTAGGGGAGCTCCACTCAATACCTTCTCCCAGCTAGATATTGAGCCATTGATAACTACGTGTTGAGCACGATGATCCAGGCAGTTATGTTCCTACGTGTTGAGCACGATGATCCACCTTACAGTACTTTCAGCTAGTCTGTATTTCCTTAGCTTGTTAAGGGGAATGTTGTGAGAGGTAGTGTCAAAAGCCTTGCTAAAGTCAAGGTATATCACAACCTTTGTTCTCCTTGCATCCACAGAACCTGTCATGTTATCACAGAAAGAAATCAGGTTAGTCAGGCATGACTTGCTCTTGGTGAATCCATGCTGGCTGTTCTTGTTTTCCACTAGGTACTTCACAATAGGTCCCTTGAGGACCTGCTCCCTGATTGTTCCACCTGTTGACGTCAGACTGACTGATCTGTAATTCCCCAGATATTTCTTCTTCCTTTTCTTGGAGATAAGCACTATCTTTGATTTCTTCCAATCATCTGGGACCACATCTGGCCTCCATGAATTTTCAAGGGGGATAGCTAGTGGCTCTGAAATTACCTCAGTTAATTCCTTCAGCACCATCTGGTCCCGAGACTTAAAAGCATCTAGCTTCTCTAAATAATCCCTAACCTGTTCTGCCATTACTTTAGGCTGTTTGACTCCTTTCCTATCTTTGCTGCCAACTTCACTTATCATCTGGTAGCTTCCCCTATATTGGAAGACTATAGTAAAAAAAGATAGGATCTAGATAACTTCTGTGTTCCATAAGGGATTTACTGTTTCTTTGGT